CACTATAATAGGTGTGACACACTTAAAACCCTGACTAGGGTTGGCATCGGTCCAGGCCAACCTTGGCTTGAAAGAAAATTATATATTGTCTATCAGGTTAATATGGAAAGTATATATTTTAATCAGTATATATGAGAAGGGTACGTTTAATATCTTGTATTTTATGGTAAGTTTGAGTATAGTATACGAATATGTGACTTATTTCTATTTTTTTTCTCATCTATAATTTATCTATAAACGGCAACTCTGTACATTCATACTACTAATGGACACTGAGGCTCTTTATAGAAACTTGAGACTCTTCATATGGTATCAGAGCCAGATTCATCTTAGATGTGTCCATTCCTGTAAGATTGAATCTCTTACTCAATGGTGTTCTTTTTTGTATGATCGAGTTTGTTAATCTGTTACTTGAACATGTCTGTCTGTTTACAAGCTGTTGAATCGATAATAGATATGCACCGAGTTCTTTTAGCTCCTCCAAGTGCCATTATGTTTTTTTAGCTAATCTTGATTGTCATTCTGTCTCGGAGAAGATATGAAACTTTCGTTTTTTATTCAATCATGCTCTATTTGAGCATTCTCCCTCTAAGGCTTATTGATATGTCATTGCTTGAGCTTGTCATGTTTTGTTGTTCCTATGTGGTTGTTGATCAAGCAATATGAGTATGCACCTGAGAGCTTTCTGTTTCTGGGGCTTATTGATCTGTCATTGCTTGAGCATGCCATGTTTTACAGTTTCTCCATGCTTTTTGATCAAGCAAACGGAGCATACACCTAAAGATCCAACTGCTCGTTTCCACAAGTTGCTCTCTCTCATTGCATTTAAGTTTGAGGGGGAGTGTGAAAGGAAAATATATATTGTTTATCAAGCCAATATGGAAGTTGTATATTGTAATTAATAGATATGGGAAAGGTAGGTACAATATCTTGTATTTTATAGTAAGTTTGGGTATATGTATTTTTTTTTTTTTCTCATTTATAATTTATCTATAAAAAGCAAGTTTGTACATTAATAAACACCAAGTCTTTTAAGATAAACCTGAGACTCTCCACACCTAGCTCAACCCTATTCCCTTGAGGGCCAACCCAAGCTCAATCCTGCCGAGCTAGGCCATGCCTTTCTTGGCTTGGCCCTCAAGCAACATTTTGTGGCACATGCCCTAGTTTTTTTGGGCCAAACCAGGCCATTCGGCCATTCGGTCCACTGCTCCCCCCTCCTCCCCAACCAAACTAGAAATCCATAGCTTTAATATAAAGGAAACTTTATTCCATGATCTACCCTAATTTTCCCGTGCATTTCAAATTTGAGAACCTTCCTAAATCACTACAGCTATTTTTGCATTGGATCCTGAATTTACTGTCAATATAGTTATTTTTAAACAAAAATAACTAAGTTAATGAAGACATAAAATTACAGGGAATAAATTTTTTTGAAAAAAAGATAAAATATCGATTTTTATAGGTTCCATTAAAAAAGCACGATTTTTTTAAAAACTCGAAGTTCTATATGGATTTAAAAAATTTGGAATTTTTTGAAAAAATCAGAGAGTTTTTCAAAAAAGTTATGTTTTTAAAAAGAGACTTGCTAACCATGAGTAGAAGACCTCTTTCAAAAAGAAAAAAAAATATGCCGAGAACTAAAGTGAGTAGCGGATAAACTTCTGTAAAAAATTGCCATTTTAAAATTTTAAAATTATTTTTTAGATATTCATGATTGTGAAGTCCACATGTTAAAATTTAGACCAAGACCAACTCAATAAAGATTTTTGAAGGCAGATGCATTTGAATAGGGACTGACCAATCACCATGCTCAGCAGGGTTGGGTTGCCACAAAACTAGGCATTTTCCACTTCAACTAGCAGCAAAAGGCAAATCTGGGTTGCCACAAAACAAGGCATTTTCCATTTCAAATACAAGGAAAAAGCAAAATCTGGGTTGTCACAAATCTAGGTGTTTTTCCATTTCAAGTAACAGGAAAAAGCAAATCCATCTACCACTTTGGTTTCCCTCTTTCTATCTTTCTTTCTTTTTCTTTTTCTTTCTCTTTTATTTCGTTTTATTTTTTTAACATTAACATAAGTATTACTTTGGTTTCCCTTTCCTTGAACAAAATGTCGTCTCTCTCTAGAACCCACTCTCTAGAACCCAAGTAGCTGTCCGGTTTCTCAAAAAAGGTTTATATAAGGTGTCAAATTTATATTGTGTAAGTATGGTGCATATTAAAAACGCACTTTGAGAAGGTTGTTTTGATTTTGAAAAACTTTATATTTGATCATCGTCGATATGTAGGGATATCATTAAAAGATTATCTGAAGTCTTAAAAATAACATATATTATAATGCCTCATTCAAACCATCCATATTCAAAATTTTCAATTGATTGGAGATCTACTCGATCCACACTATTTTTAAATATTTAAGGTTCATGAAAGAAAATAAAATTAAATTTTTAGATCATAAGGGTTTTCAATACCAAAAATGCACCTTTTAGAGAGATTTAGAAACGCACCTTATTTTGATTGTTTGTTGTCTTATACAAATCACACCCTTGGCTAGAATTTAGTGCGTTAACTAACTCACCAAAACATTTACGTGCATCAAACGTCCATCTTAGAGATAGGCTCGAAGGTGCTTTCGCTACATGCCAAAATAGACGGTGAAAAATAAATATTAAAAAAAAAAAGTTTACATAAAATTGACATCTTAAAATCTAGAATTATGGCGCATTTCTAAAATTCTTCTAAAAATATTGTTTTGATGTTGAAGAAACGTCTAATTGATCACCTCGATAGATATGGAGAAAATATGAGATTTCAAGTTTTAAAAATGATACATCTTGCAACACATTATCTATAGAATGCCTATTTTAAAATTTTAATGCTTTTATAAATGTGCTTGACTTTAATCAATTTTGAAATTAAAAATTTTATAATTAAAAATAAAATAGATTCTAAAACTTTCCTAAGAATTTTGACTCCAAAATTGACACAGTTTGTAGTTGCACATTAGATTGTTTAGGATTGCAACCTTATGCTAACACACCCATTCATAAAAATAAAAAACTAAAAAACAATTTATTTAGAATTGAGACTCCAAACAATCAAATCAGATCCCACCCCATAAAATGCTTTCGAAATGCATAATTTTAGTCCCCATTAACAAATCTAGAAACTTCGAATCCAAAAGTCTCTTTGAAGAGGGGACGCACGCTGACAGACGGGTCGGCGTATACACAATTATTTTAGCTTTAAATTGAATCATTAAATATCCAAAAGAGGTCGGCGGTGCACCATTTTTTTCGTAAATCGTCAATAAAGAAAACTCATCAAATCAAACGTGTCATTCCTCGATACCTCATCCCACACGTGGGTAGCTGCGGGTCAGTTCCATGCCTACACGACATGCGCACCCATACATGACGTGTACATGACAAACAGCATATGCCTATGCCATTCCCATTGCCATTGCCATTGCCATGGCCATGCATGAATGGTTGCGCGTGGTTGCCGGCGCGTCGTGCTACACAATACCCCATAGGGCATAGCACGTGTGGAGTATTCGCCCGTGCTAGGTCAGAGTAGGAAGGTTTGACCGCCCCGCAACAAACGAGGAGAGAACAAATGAGGATAGAGAGAGAAAGAGTAAGGAGGAGAGAGAAAATGCAGGCGAAGCGTAGATGGCGGCTCGACACGTCAGCAATTGCCGGCTCTGACGGCCGTTGCCGTCACGTGAATGTAGGCCACGTGGGACCGCTTGCTGTCGAAGGATCAAAGATAGTGCAGACAAAGTACGAAACTACCCATGGTTTTTATCGAAATGACGGGACCACCATAAACCCTGAAACTCTTTCTGAAATTATAAGCGACTGGTCCACAAATAATGCACACAAACCAAAATCCAAAATATTGCGGCCTCCTCCTATAAACGAATGTTCTTATGGCATATATATATATATATATATATGCAAACTACTATTTCATCAAATTTGTGGAATAGAGTTTTGTTACAAAATTTATGAGCTTGGTTGGAATTTATCATCTTTTTGGACATGATCTTATCAAGATTTTGATGCGAACATACTTTTTTTATTGGGATTGTATACAGAATGTTCATCTTTGATACAAGGAGAGAGACTGTTTATGTATGATACAAAGAAACAATCACTACTTAATATAATGTGAAGTCTATAGCTTACATGCTGCAAAAGTTTTAAAAATAGTTAATTTTAAAGTTTGAGCTAAATCAATTATATAAATACAAAGATCTAATTTCACATCCTATAATACAACCATCCAATTTCACATCCTATGATACAACCATCCAATTTCACATTTGATAGTGAAGATTAACTGACCAAAGATCATCTAATAGTGAAGATTTAATGGACCAAAGATCATCGTATAGTTTTCTCAATTTGCATTTTCTTTTTTTTAGCAAATTTCACAACGATGGCCCGAGATTCTATATGAAGCTTTCTATAGATGGGCACTCATGAAAAGCAAAACACAGACTTGGGTTGAAAATCAATCAAGTTGGCCACAAACGTTGAAGCCATTTAACCTAGATGGGATAAAATTTCGGCTTAAATGAAATTTCCGCTTAAAATGAAATTTCGGCTTAAATTTTGATAAATACTAGCCATGGATGCTGTGGAGACACGTAGCCGCAAAGAAGGGTCTAGAACACCACTAGCTCCTTCTCGAAATCGAGTAAAAAAAACAAGAACACAGGGACAGATGCGGAATTTCGGAATATGCAAGCAAGAGGGCCATTCTACCCTTAAAAGAGTCTCCAGGGAAAAGCAACGCAAGGACAATCACGTCATTTCTCACTCTCCTACGCTTACGGCGCGTGGCGCGCAGCCCCATTAACTATGTGCTTCCCTTCATGTGCACGGCGATTATTTTTCTCATCCAATTTTTTTTATTATCTATTATTTTGGCGAAAACCTCCAATCACTAAAAACTGATCTCTAAGAATTAAAAAGTTTTCCGCCGGTTTCACGCAAATTTCCAAAGAGGAAAGAATTTCGAATTTCGCCGATAATCGGAGATTCAGATGAGAAGAAAACTGTACAAAGACGAAAAGAAAGAAAATACATCGCCGATTTAATCCCGGAATGGATAAAGCAAAAACGAAGGAAATAAAAAAGCGTCACCGCCGTCGAATTTCCCGTCCAAAAACTCATCGGAGAATATCGTTATATGGAAATATAAACCTCAAAATAACGGCGCCGGCTGGTTAAGATCGAACAAAAACTGCGGCTCCTGCCTCTTGCTTTGTGTCAGAGTCAGGTCACAGTTAGCAGAAAAATCGGTTTTCTTCTCAGCAGTCACCGGGAAACCGCCTTTCTCAGCCGCCGGAAAAACTTTGGAGAAACCTGCTGCTTTCTCGGTTGCAGGAAAACCGCCTTTCGAGAAGCCACCAAAATCAGTGGTTTCAGAAGAGGAGGAGGAGGTGGTATTAGAAGGAGCGGCATAGAAAGAGGAGGTCCACGGCCTGAAGTGTGTCAGATCGGTGGCCTGAATGGTGTCAGATCTGAGATCGTCAGCTATGGTGAAGTTCGTCTTGGCCTTTGGGCCTCTGAGGTTACGAGCCGCTGCATCATAGGCGCGAGCCGCTTCTTCGGCCGTGTCAAAGGTTCCAAGCCATTTCCTGGTCTTCTTCCACGGATCTCTTATCTCAGCAGCGAAACGACCCCATGGCCTCTTCCTCACTCCTCTGAAGTGAGTTTCTTTAGGAGGAGCTGAGGTCTCCTCACTATTTCTTCCTAAGCCGTCGTTCATGGAGCGGCTCACCATCTGAAGAGCTTCAACCGCCATGAAAGTTGCAGACAAGAGTAAAAAGCCGGAAAATCCTCAGTTTAAAGAGATAACAGCCCGGAAAAGCTCCGATTCAACAAAGAAAGAACACAAGAAAGAAAGGAGAAAAGCCTCGGGTTAAATGGAGAGAGAAAGCTAGGGTTTTCAAAGCCAAAAAACTGAGAGAGCGTGCAGGATAAGGCAGAGAGCCTCTCTGTCTTGGTGAGAAAGGCGCCGAAAAAATAGGTGGCAGAGAAGGAATTCAGAGCTAGAGAGATGAAATAGAGAGAGAAAGTGTTGGAGTAAAGCAAAGCTAGGGGAATGGGGCGGCCAAGGCGACGTATTTATAGCGAGAACCCCGGTTTTCTGTTCACCCGACAGCCCATCTTAACCCCACCTTTTCTCGCCCTTTTCTCTCTCTCTATCCCTCTCTCTCTCTCTCTCATGCCCTGTCTACATTTTCTCTCTCTATTTCACCGCCGGTATGCATGCATGCCAACATGACATAGCCATTCAATCCGATCGGTGCCGTTCCCGTAGCCGGTTCCCGTGGACCATTATCTTTGACCACTTTATACACTTAATTTTTGTGAGAGCATTATTTCACACTTAAAAGGGCACCGATTCCTTTTAATTTAAATTAATTTAAGTATAAAATTTTGTCCTTAATCAAGTATCGGGAATAGAGGACGAATCGGTATAAAGCGGCGGCGGTTTATCCGCATGCGAGAGGTCGATGATGCCATGCATTGTCATAATGGTGTTGTGGGCCATAGCATGAAAGCAACTCGAACGGCGCCGTTAAGACTCCTTGACGGAGCCACTTTTTCTGGAAAATAGCAGCATGCCCCTATTGATGCCGTAAAGTCCAGTTCGCCCTCAAAAGATCAAACACATGGTTTTCTCGGATGTCTGTTCGTTTCGGTTTTTGCCCGACAGAAAAAGAATTTTTCGGTTGGTTTTTTTCGTGTTAGTTTGGTCGTGCTCTCTTCCCATCGCCCTCCCATGTATGGTTGGATTAGTGTTTTAAAACCTGAATTGGTGTGAATAATCATCCATCTTACAAAACTATATTAGATTGTTAGGTTATTGATTTGTGTGCTTATAGTTCAAGAAAATATAAAATTAAGTAGAGGTTTACAGCGGGGGATTTAGAGGGATATATTTATATGTGATCCGGGTTTGTATAAGAGATATGGAGGTTTCTCGTGCTAAAATTGTAATTATCGATGAACCAAAAACTGTAACTTCTAATGAGTTTTGATGCCAATGTCTATGAGGCCTAAATCTTACATTAAAAAAAGTACGGCTTCACCTCAAAAATTTTGTCCAAGAAACATTTTGGTTACGAGAAATCCCTAAGATGGTTCTAAAACCAATTTCCACAACTTATCATGAAATTTATAGCTAAAAAAATGATACATATCTTTTTGTCAAAACAGAAAAAAGCACCGATCTTATAAATCAATGAACACTCGAAAATAGAAAGTATAGATAATCTGTTACAATATATGTTATTTTTAGGGCTTGAAATGCTAACTTTTTTCATAATCATAATGATTTAAGTGTATCAAATAGAATTTCAGGTTTTTTGTTTTTTTTTTTGACAAATGTTCTTACTTTTATCGATAACTACAAAAAAAAAAAAAAAATTATATCATTAGAGATAAGCGAAGGCAAAGAAGCATCACCCTAAAGGAAAACATTTCTATACTAAAATTGTAATTTTTGATGTGACGCTTTATTTTATTTTTTTCCTATAAAACCATGCCCTAACAATCCGAGATTCCCAATCTGGATGGCTGCTTTTTAGACACCAAGTTGGAGGATGAAAATTTTTCTATTATAATGTCGAATTTTTAACGGTAAAGCTCCGTTCAAAAAAAAAAAAAAACTGAGAGGCTCCTTACTTCTTACCGTTTCTACCTTAGAAACACGTTCACTGCCGGTAATTGTTGGCCCCGGAGATTTTGTTTCTGAGAAATTTCGGGAAACTCGAGGTCGATATTCCGTGTGCAATTTACACTGTTGTTTGAATAAAAGACAAGGGCAATGCTGGGTGAAAATGGTTCTAAATCTGCCAGCTGTGGGCAGTTAGCCGTGCGGTTCACGATCCGTTAATGTGGCCGTAACGGAAACGGCGGCGACTGACTCTATGTATTAACGCTCCTTTCTCTTTCTCTTGGGTCTTTCTCCCTCTAACTTTGTGCGTAAATGTTGGGGGAGGAAGGGGCAGGGTGGGGGACGTTACGCGGCAGCCGCCCGAGGCCGGCTCGACACGTGGCGGACGGCGGCTGGGCCTTGTGGGCCAGAGCCGTACTATGGTATCGAAGAGCGGCGGGTGGGTGAGCGCCGCCTGTGGGGCCCGTGGTCCCGCGATCTTCGCGCACTGTCCGCCACGTGTTGAGTACCGACCATCGAGGACGCTGATTCTTCGGCTCGGCTCGCAGCGCGTGCAACGAGGCGACGGCGATGCGCGGTCTTCTCTCTCCCTTCGTTGTGTTCCACGCTCTCACTCTTTCTCTCTCTATCCATTCTGTTTTTTCTTTCTCTCTCTATCTCCTGTGTCGGTCAGGGGTGGAGGGTGGGCCCGAGTATTGAGGACGGCCTGTCACGGATGCACGGTGAGACACGTGGAGATAGTCGCAGAAGGATCCCACGTGATATCCAGAGCACACGTGTGCGGGGAGGCAGTTTTTTTTTAATTAATTATTTATTTTATTTATATAAAGTTGCTGTTTTAAAATGTAAAATTACATATGCATCTCAAAAATCCATGTAAAATGTTGTTTTAATGTTTAAATTTTTTTTAACATGAATATGAAAGAAAAAGAAAAATTGAGTCTATGAATAATGTATCTTGGAACCCATTATCTAGATCGTTTATTTATAATATTTTAATATATTTATAGATCTATTTGAGTTTAATTTTTTTAAAAAAATTAAATTTTTATTATTAATTATTAATTATTAAAATAAAATTTAAAATAATTTTGATAATTTTTTATATCTGAATTACATATTTAAATGAAATTTAAAAGTGTGTCTTATTTAAATTGTTTAAAGGTTGCAACCACATAAAAACCACACTAGTATTGAAGCGAAAATCCACCGTTTTAGTGGGGTAAGTGACGGTTTTTATGCTTTAAAAAATATGCGTTTTTCTCGGTAGAAGTTTAGGGTTTCAGAAACTAACGGCGGTTAAAGATTTGAAGTTCACATTGAATGGATGGGCGGCGGGGGAACCGGCCCCTAATCGGGCTTCACAGACGTGTTGTGCAGGGAATCCAGGAGCAGGGAAGAGAGAGAAGAAGAATGAGAGTGAAAGAGAGAGAATGAAGTAGGACCTTTGGAGGGACGAGAGAGAGGGAAAGACGGGCGCGGCGCAGGAGATAGAGACAAGACCTGTTAACATGGTGATTTTCAGCCCGGGTCGTCGACTTGGATGGGAAACAATCGGGATTCAACCAGGAACGTATGGGTCTGGGCCGACTCCTCTTTAAAACTTTTTTTATATTATACATATATATATAAAAGCTTATCTAGTATTATTAACTCTATTCAAAATCTCTTCCTCTATAAATCTTTATTTTAATTTTTTATTTATTTTAATTTTTTATATTATTTTGGACATTGATTTAGACCGATCCATACCTAAATCACGGTTTTAGCTTTTGACAACAAATAAGTAGGTGAACAATTTACCCTACAAATAGAGTTTTGAAACACTTAGACCCGTCGTTTCTTTATTGAAAATTTATGTATATTCAATAGAGTTTTTACAACTATACATCCTGAAATAAGATTGCGACCTTTTTGTATAAAAGGTAAATTCTTTAGTTTTATACCATGCAAGTTACAAACAATGAGCAAAGCACAGTAATTTCAGCCGTCTATTGTTGGAAATGGACGTTCATCTTGTGGACAACCGATGTTTGTGATGTCTAAGTAGTTTTCTATTTGTAAACTACATGCATCGTGGTACACAATTCATAGGCATAAAAAAGATATTTCGTTTTCCTACTACGAATAAAAAAGACAATGGGCAGCTCAAAGACAAGCCACCGTCCCAATTACTTCTACGCAAACAAAGGCCTAAAAGTGAAAATCATCACTCTTTTCCCCACCGAAAAATAGACAGAGAGCGAAAGCACGCCACCGAGACCGTTTTGGTTCTGAAAAAGTTTACAAGTCTCCAACTTTATAATATAAAAAAGTAAGGATAAGGTGCACATAAAAAATCATCGAAAAAATCTGTTCCGGCACCGAAAAATCTTTATTCCAATTGAATTATTCAAGTTTTTCAAATAATAATGCACCATAAAATATATCATTTAAATTTTTTTAGATATTCTATCTACATCATTTTCAAAACTTCAATTTATAAAGTTGGGATATAAATTTAAATATGTACTCGAGTCACTACAAGAGCTGTTTAGTACTAAAAAAACTCTTTAGGAGACTCATTAGCTAAGAGAGGAGTAACCTTACCCTCCATTTTAATTTTGAATGACGTAAGTTTAATATATTTTTTCTTCATCAATAAAAATTATAACATTTGTCAAAAAAAAAAAAATCTTTTAAAAGAACTCAAAGATAATACTTTTCTAAGTTTATCTCAATTATTTAAGGTTGATGCTCCGTAAGAACTGGTGCTTTCAAGATTGGAAGGATCAATTGAATCAATGAGAGGTCTAATGCATTAAAAAAAACAAATTGATTTTAATTTTATATATTTAATTAAAATTTAAAATATTAAAATAATATAAAAAATATTTAAGAATTACATTTTTATAAAACCAAAGGAGTGGCCAACAAAAAGCGGCCAGTCATTAATATATTTTGTTCTATTTTTTTTTTACTTGATTTAATTTTGAAGGTGTTAGGACAATAGTAACTTCACCGCCTTCCCCCCCAAACTCTCATTATTGAGGACGGTGTAGGCATTTGTTAGGGGTCGGTCTTCTCAAATTAAAGGAACTAAAAAAAATCCAGACATCGCTATCCCAATTGGAAAAATATTTGAAAAAGGTAAAGGCAAAAGAAAAAAGAGAGCGGGTGAGGTGGGGCAACGGGCTGCCACAGGTCATGATACTGCAAATTGGCGGCACGGTTATCCATGTAGACACGTGTCCATATCTGGATAGCCCTACGCCGTCCTCATTTTTATTAGGGACCCACGTGTGGCGGCTCTTTACCTAATAAACACGACAAAAAGAAAGGTCCAAATAATTTTTTTTTCAAAAAGACATTATTTTTGTTGCAGCTAAAACACTGGGAGCCTCGTGAGCCCATAACCTACGGCAAAGTATATTACATACATGGGTTGCCGCGATAACTAGCAAAATAAATAAAAAGTTTATATAA